TGTTTTGAGTTTGAGCAAGGACACAGGGGCCCCATGATCCCCTATTGCCTGGGGGCCCCATGCGTTGTCAGTCCGCCCCTGCTAGGAAGTGATTTACCTGGCTCCCGGGACGGAGTGTTTTTGCATACATTTGCCACAGTTTCTTCTGATATCTTCATTTACAATTGCCTTCCACATCCCACCAGTCAGCTTTTCTGAGTCTGGCAAATGTTGAGGTTGAATCCAGGCAAGTGAATGTGCTTGTATTCACCTAATTTTTTCAATAAGGTCCCGTTCACATGGGCTTTTAGATCAGGTCCACCTGCCAGTTTTTCAGGCAAACCTAGCTGGAAGCTTTATGCAAGTCTAAGGGCAGGTGGATGTAAACAGACAGGTTCTGTTTGGGTGAAGGTACTGCTTGTGACGTCATCGTGCAGTCCGAAACTAGGAAGTGATTTACCTGGTTCCCGGGACGGAGTGTTTTTGCATACATTTGCCACAGTTCCTTCTGATCTCTTCATTTACAATTGCCTTTCATATCCCCCCAGTCAGCTTTTATGATTCTGGCAAATGTTGAAGTTGAATCCAGGCAAGTGAATGTGCTTGTATTCACCTAATTTTTTCAATAAGGTCCCGTTCACGTGGGCTTTCAGATCAGGTCCACATGCCAGTTTTTCAGGCAAACCTAGTTGGAAGCTCCATGCAAGTTTAAGGGCAGGTGGATGTAAACAGACAGGTTCTGCTTGTGACGTCATCGTGCAGTCCGGAACTAGGAAGTGATTTACCCAGCTCCCGGGAGTCTTTTTACAGGCACCTATTATTTATGACTTTGAGTTAGAGGATTTGACAGTTGATCCGGAGGATGCCTTTTCCTTTAAACAGGGACCATTGAGATTCATATGCTCTCTTTGACTCTTGTCCATCAATTCTAGTAAGAGTTCCTAATGCACACTGAAGTGGTGGAGCACTTGGAGGTTTTATGGTGTGCACCAGGATTTTCTTTACAAGATTGACTTCTCTTGGGACAATTTTCATCACAGTTATTTTTATGAAACTCGATTCTTCTTTTTTGGGGGGATTTTTTTTGTTTATTATGCATTTATACTAGGGATGTACCGATATATCGGCGGCCAAAATGCACAGGATGAAAACAGTGTTATCAGCATTTTAACAATAAGAAAAAAAGTGCCGATAATGCCCACCAAAAAACGTGCGAGTTTACCCACGATTTTGTTGCGATTTTACCCGCAATTTTACCTGCGATTTTGCAACAATTTTACCACATGTAGGGTGCTTTTTTTTTTCAGAGGTCACGTTTCTCAAAAAACGCATAAAAAATGCAACACTGGTGCGTTTTTTGATGAAATTTTGCTGCATTTTCAATGCATTTCAAGCCTGGTTAACAAACAATGCAGTTTGTGTTTTCTCTGTTTTGCAGTGCGTTTGCCATTTTTGCACACACTTTTGATCCTTTTTTGCATTTTTTAATGTTTTTTTTTTTTTTGGCCAGCTTGTTGCTGGGCAGATTAACCACCTACCATCCGTCCGTTTATATACAGCGGTGGCAGTTCAGGGTCGGGTGGCCATTTGTAAACGTCCTCCCAACCCCCTGCTTGTGTGCGCTCCCTGGGAGAGTGCGCAGCACACCGCGATCCGGTGCCCGCTGTGTCCTCTGGTGACCTCTGTGCGAGGTCCCGATCATGTGATCACTGATTGGCCAATCAGTGATCACATGCAGAGTAGTAAGCAAGATGTCACTTCTGACATCATTGCTTACAACGTGTGAAATATGTGAATGATCACAGCGATCACATGGTACAAGGCAGCCTTGTACCATGTGACAAGCTGTGACCAATCACAGCTCACACAGTAGTTCTCAATGGCTGCAAGAATGCAGCCAGAGAGAAGGAGAAATTATTTGCTTTTACAGCCTTCATGGGTGTACAACAACATTTAATACCTTGTAATCTTATACTTACAAGATATGAAAGTGCAAAAAGAATGGTTGGTTAAAAGACACGATGCTTCAAAATGTCGCCTTGTACAACTAGGGGCCGACCAAACCCAGACAACGGAAATGTTGTTATGGATACGAGACGTGTTCCAAACAAACATGCTTAATCTTGCAGATGATGTCATCCATATGCAGAGTTCTTCTTTCTTTCGCTGAGGAAGGAGTGGAGCCACTCCGAAACGCGTTGAACAAGTCTCATATCCATAACAACATTTCCGCTGTCTGGGTTCGGTCGGCCCCTAATCATACGAGGTGACATTTTGAAGTATCATGTCTTTTAATCAACCATTCTTTTTGCACTTTCATGTATTGTAAGTATATCTACAGATTACAAGGTATTAAATGTTGTTATGGATATGAGACTCACCAATGGGTTTCGGAGTGGCTCCACTCCTTCCTCTGGGAAAATAGAAAAGAACTCTGCATATGGATGACAGGATACCCAGTATGACTATGTGTGACTGGCCATAGAGGATATGAATTATGGAATCATCATTGATGTACAATTCCTGCAGAGATACTATTCTAATTGTCCCAATGCGTTTCGGAGTGGCTCCACTTCTTCCTCGGGAAAAGAGAGAAGAACTCTGCATATGGATGACATCATCTACAAGATTAAGCATGTTTGTTTGGAACACGTCTCATATCCATAACAATATGTAATACCTTGTAATCTGTAGATATACTTACAGTACATGAAAGTGCAAAAAGGATGGTTGATTAAAAGACATGATACTTCAAAATGTCACCTCGTATGACTAGGGTCCGACCGAACCCAGACAGTGGAAATGTTGTTATGGATATGAGACTTGTTCCAAACAAACATGCTTAATCTTGTAGATGATGTTATCCATATGCAGAGTTTTCCCTGCATTTTCCCCTTTCCCCTTTTCTCCCTTTTCCCTGAGGAAGGAGTGGTACCACTCCGAAACGCGTTGGACAATTAGAATAGTATCTCTGCAGGAATTGTACATCAATGATGATTCCATAATTCATATCCTCTATGGCCAGTCACACATAGTCATACTGGAGCCACTCCAAAACGCTTTTTTTTGGGGCCGACCGAACTCAAACGGCGGAAATGTTGTTATGGATATGAGACTTATTCCAAGCAAACATGCTTAATCTTGCAGATGATGTCATCCATACGCAGAGTTCTTCTCTCTTTTCCCTGAGGAAGGAGTGGAGCCACTCCGAAACGCATTGGAACAGTTAGAATAGTATCTCTGCAGGTCTTGTACATCAACGATGGTTCCATAATTCATATCCTCTATGGCCAGTCACACATAGTCATCCTGGGTATCCTGTCATCCATATGCAGAGTTCTTCTCTCTTTTCCCTGAGGAAGGAGTGGAGCCACTCCGAAACGCGTTGGGACAATTATAATAGCATCTCTGCAGGTTTTGTACATCAACAATGATTCCATAATTCATATCCTCTATGGCCAGTCACACATAATCATCCTGGGTATCCTGTCATCCATACCCAGAGTTCTTCTCTCTTTTCCCTGAGGAAGGAGTGGAGCCACTCCAAAACGCGTTGGGACAATTAGAATAGTATCTCTGCAGGTTATTTACATCAATGATGATTCCATAATTCATATCCTCTATGGCCAGTCACACATAGTCACACTGGAGCCACTCCAAAACGCTTTTTTGTGGGGCCGACCGAACCCAGACAGCGGAAATGTTGTTATGGATATGAGACTTATTCCAAACAAACATACTTAATCTTGCAGATGATTTCATCCATATGCAGAGTTCTTCTCTCTTTTCCCTGAGGAAGGAGTGGAGCCACTCCGAAACGTGTTGGGACAATTAGAATAGCATCTCTGCAGGTTTTGTACATCAACGATGATTCCTTAATTCATATCCTCTATGGCCAGTCACACATAGTCATCCTGGGTATCCTGTCATCCATACGCAGAGTTCTTCTTTCTTTTTCCCTGAGGAAGGAGTGGAGCCACTCCGAAACATGTTGGAACAATTAGAATAGTATCTCTGCAGGAATTGTACATCAATGATGATTCCATAATTCATATCCTCTATGGTAGTGGTTCTCAACCTGTGGGTCGCGACCCCTTTGGGGGTCGAATGACCCTTTCACAGGGGTCGCCTAAGATCATCGGGAAAACACATATTTACGATGCGTAATGAGCAGCTACGGTGTAGAAAGCAGCTACTGTTTTGAAAGCAGCTACTGTGTAGAAAGCAGCTACTGTGATGAAAGCAGCTACTGTGTTGAAAGCAGCTACTGTGTAGAAAGCAGCTACTGTGTTGAAAGCAGCTACTGTGTTGAAAGCAGCTACTGTGTAGAAAGCAGCTGCTGTGTTGAAAGCAGCAGTATTGGAGGAAAACGACACTTCATGAATTATAATTACTGGGTAAATAATTTTATGGTTGGGGGGGTCACCACAACATGAGGAACTGTATTAAAGGGTCGCAGAATTAGGAAGGTTGAGAACCACTGCTCTATGGCCAGTCACACTGGGTATCCTTATCATGTAAATTCATATTCTGGTTTCGATGCTGTATTATGACTCTGTATGATGTATTGTATTGTATGTCTATGTGTCATAACAATTTTTCACAAATAAAAATTTGTACTTTTTAAAATATTTATGGTACTATTTAAGCCTTCAAAGTCCTAGGGGGTCCCTCCTTCTTCATCTCCTTGTTATTTTAGGGATGGTGGCTAACAATCAGGAATTTTTCCTCTTTTCCATGTCTCTTTAAGGCAGCATTTTCCAACTCTCACTCTGCAGAGGGTTCCGCTGCAAAATACAGATCTCAGAATTCATTACAAAGCCGTATGGCAGGCAGGTTCTATTTATTTGCATTGTCAGTAATGACATACGGGGTTCTCTTTCAGGATATCATGGTGTAGCAGCAGTTGAAGAGCAGGAGGGGGGGGGGGGGGGGCTGCCTGTAGCTCAGATGAAAAGATCTTTGATAATGTTGTCACGTGTGTGAATGTCTAACGACAGCCATATTCTCTCTCTCCGCAGTTCTTTGTAGTGCTGTTGATCATCTTTCTTCTTGAAATAATCAGTCTCGTCCTGTTTTTCGCCTACAATGACAATGTAAGTGCTCAGTGCCGGGTTTTATCTCTCTATTGTTTGCCTGTCAGTATCATGTTTTTGGCCACATTAAAGGAGAACTCTGCATCTTTTTTTTATTTCTATAGTTTAGGCTTTTATAATTAAAAAACAAATGTGTCTCTACTAGTAATATAGTTATGAACTGTATCAAATCATACACCTAGAATATATGAAAACAAATATCTGTGCAGTACATATCTGTATATATCAGTGGTCCCAAACTGTGGTCTGGGGGCCCTTTGCTCGCTTTTATCATGTCCTTGGGGCACTATTTCATTCACAGGTACCAGGAATGGGGCAAAATTTCCCCCACTGACACCTAAGATGAGGCACAATTCCTGCCAAAGATACTAATGATGGAGCACAATTCCTCCCAATGACACCAACAATAAGGGCCCAATGACTCCAACGATGGAGAACAATTCCTCCCAATGACACCAACAATAAGGGCGCAATTTTTCCCAATTACACCAACAATAAGGGCCTAATTTTTCCCAATGACACCCAATATGGGGCCCTTAATTTTCCCATAGACACCTAAGATGAGGCACAATTCCTGCCAAAGATTCTAACGATGGGGCACAATTTCACCTAATGACACCAACAATGGGGCACAATGACTCCAACGATGGAGCACCATTCCTCCCAATGACACCAACAATAAGGGCCCAATTTTTCCCAATGACACCAACAACAAGGGCCCAATTTTTCCCAATGACACCCAATATGGGGCCCTTAATTTTCCCACAGACACACTAAGATGAGGCACAATTCCTGCCAAAGATACTAACGATGGGGCACAATTCCTCCTAATGAAACCAACAATGGGGCCCAATAACACCAATGACGGAGCATAATTCCTCCCCATGACACCAATGATGGGGCCCAATTTCTCCCAATGACACCAATAATGGGCACAATTCCTTCCAATGACACCAACGATGAGGCACAATTCCTCCCACTAACACCAAAGATGGGGCAGCCCCCCTAATAACTGAAAGAAAATAAACTGGTCCTTTATTTAGAAAGTTTGGGGACCCAATATATATATATATACCCACATGGAAGAAAAATATAGTGCCCCATCATTGGCATTAGTGGGAGGAATAGTGCCCCATCATTGGTATCAGTGGGAGGAATAGTGCCCCATCATTGGTATCAGTGGAAGGAATAGTGCCCCATCATTGGTATTAGTGGGAGGAATAGTGCCCCATCATTGGTGTCAGTGGGAGGAATAGTGCCCCATCATTGGTATCAGTGGGAGGAATAGTGTCCCATCATTGGTATCAGTGGGAGGAATAGTACCCCATCATTGTGTCAGTGGGAGGAATAGTGCCCCATCATTGGTGTCAGTGGGAGGAATAGTGCCCCATCATTGGTGTCAGTGGGAGGAATAGTGCCCCATCACTGGTATCAGTGGGAGGAATAGTGCCCCATCATTGGTATCAGTGGAAGAAATAGTGTCCCATCATTGGTATCAGTGGAAGGAATAGTGCCCCATCATTGGTATCAGTGGGAGGAATAGTGCCCCATCATTGGTATCAGTGGGAGAAATAGTGCCCCATCATTGGTATCAGTGGGAGGAATAGTGCCCCATCATTGGTATCAGTGGGAGGAATAGTGCCCCATCATTGGCATCAGTAGGAGGAATAGTGCCCCATCATTGGTATTTCTGGGAGTAATAGTGCTCCATCATTGGTATCAGTGGGAAAAATAGTGTGGCATCATAGGTATCAGTGGGTGGAATAGCACCCCATCAATGGTGTCAGTGGGAGGAATAGTGCTCCGTCATTGGTATCAGTGGGAGGAATAGCACCCCATCAGTGGTGTCAGTGGGAGAAATAGTTCTCCGTCATTGGTATCAGTTGTAGGAATAATGCCCCAAGGGCCAGATAAAAGCAAGGAAAGGGCCACATCTGGCCCCCGTGCTGCAGTTTGGACACCACTGGCCTAGGTGATTAGAAACGGAAGTTGTCCCCCCCCCCCCCCCCTTCCTCGTAGTCTTCTAGGACATGTGACAGGTCCCAAAAGACTACAGGACCATTCACAAACAGCGCGGCGCTACTTGTGCATTCGCAGTGGGTACCCGGCTGTGAAACCGCAAGCTCTCACAGCTGGGTGCCCACACTGAAGATGCCGGTGCCGAGAAGACAGAACGTTCGGTCAGCCCGGCAGGTGTGAGGACACCACGGGACCGAGGGTCAGATGAGTGGCCATTTTTTTAACAGTCAGCAGCTGCAGTTTTTGTAGCTGCAGACTTTTATTTTTTTTTTAATTCCGACTGGACCTTCGCTTTCAATGATTAAACCCGGGCAGACTTGCTTATGAACAAATGAAAAGATGCAAAATAGAAAAGATGGACATGCTGTGACTTCATTGTATGTGATTTTTAAATATTTGTGACAGCTGACACTTCTACCATCCTGAAGTTTTCTGCATGTCAATCGGGTCACACACACATCTGTCATCTGTCAAAACTTTTTTTTCCCAACAGTTTCACAGTTACGCCCAAGAAGACCTGAAGAAAGGTTTAGCGCTGTATCAAACAAAAGATAATCTAGGACTAACGAATGCTTGGGACATAGTGCAGACTGAGGTATGTACATTGTGCACACTCATGTTACTTTTATACAATTATATTTGCTGGAGATTCTGACAGCAAGAGCCTCGCGCACGGCGAAGTCTCCTGCTGTATACTCCATGATATGAAATACTGCAGGTCACGCAACTAGGAGGGGAGAGCAGAGTGATGAACTCATCAGCCTGCTGCTGCTTCTGCATTGTCAAGTCGAAGGCTGGGGACAGAAAGATGACCTTGCTGTATTTAAACATGCAAAAAAGAGAAAAGTCAGGTCACCAACCTGGCTTTGCTATGTGGAAGGGTTGTGGAGATCTCAGGAGTGGTTGGGCCAAAATGTAAAATTTTAACAGCTCTTACATGTGCATTTGGCTATTTACTTGGAGTTCAGCTTAAAGTGGCTGTAAACCCTTACATATACCCAGTGAAGTACATGACCTCCAGCGATACACAGAGATGACAAAAATCATCCTATAAAAGCTGTACCTGTTTATCTCTAGCACTCTCTTCTCCGTAGCCATTCAAAGTGCTGAATTTATAAAGCTTGTCTGAGAGGTCACAAAAAAAATAAGGAGAGCTGAAATTATGCACTGTAGAGCTCAGTGAGAAGAGCTCTGAAAGCTGATTGGAGAGAGGTGACACACCTCCTTCACACAACTCACAGGAACAGAGTTGAGGCTGTCAATCTGCTGGAGATCCCCCACCACTGCCACCATTTTTCTCTTGGTGTCAGGAAAACTTGTCAGAAGTGACTCGTGCTGATAACATAGGAATGAGGCAGCAGACAGAAATGGCACTTAACTCTCTGAACTGAGACAAGCACACACTATAGAGGGATATTCTTTGTTCATATTTCATGTCTGTGGTTTACAACCACATTAAAGAAGGTCATTACATTTTTCTTACAGTCCTGTCCCCTATGGGAAAAATGACATGTAGTACTTTGTCCTGCTCCCTAAGTGCTTTCTAACCCTATGAGTACCAACCTGTCCCACATCCCCCCTGTTCTAGCCGTTCTAGCAACAGCTTTTAAGGAGACGGCTTATTCATAAATGCAGTTTGCCTTGGCTGTGAACACTTTCCACAGACAAGCAGCGGCAAGAGGAGTGCAGAGCCTAACATGCCTCACCTCCCTCTGCTTTCCTTGTGTGTAGAAAACAGCTTTTAAGGAGACGGCCGATTCATAAATGCAGCTTGCCTTGGCTGTAAGCACTTTCTACAGACAAGCAGTGGCAAGAGGAATGCAGAGAATGACATGTCCCACCTCCCTCTACATTCCTCTTGCTGCTGCTTGTCTGTAGAAAGTGCTCACAGCTGAGGCAAGTTGAACTCATGAATCAGTCGTCTCCTTAAAAGCTGTTATTAGATCAGCCACTTTCTGCAGTCAAGCAGTGGCAAGAGGAATGCAGAGAATGACATGCCCCATCTCCCTCTGCATTCCTCTTGCCACTCCTTGCTTGTAGATAGTGCTCACAGCCGAGGCAAGCTGAACTCATGAATCAGCTGTCTCCTTAAAAGCTATTATTAGATTGGCCACTTTCTGCAAACAAGAAGCGGCAAGAGGAATGCAGTGCCTGACATACCCCACCTCCCTCTGCATTCCTTGTCTGTAGAAAGTGCTCACATCCAAGGCAGGCTGCACTTATGAATCAGCCGTCTCCTTAAAAGCTGTTATTAGATCAGCTACTTTCTACAGACAAGCAGTGGCAAGAGGAATGCAGAGAATAACATGTCCCTCCTCTCTGCATTCCTCTTGCCACTGCTTGTCTGTAGAAAGTGCTTACAGCCGAGGCAAGCTTCACTCATGAATCAGCCGTCTCCTTAAAAGCTGTTATTAGATTGGCTACTTTCTACAGACAAGCAGTGGCAAGAGAAATGCAGAGGTTGGTGGGGCATGTCAGGCTCTATATTCCTCTTGCCACTGATTGTCTGCAGAAATAGGCTGAGGCAAGCTGCACTCATGAATCAGCCATCTCCTTAAAAAGCTGTTATTAGATTAGCCTATTTCTGCAGACAATCAGTGGCAAGAGGAATGTAGACCTCTGAATTTCTCTTGCCACTGCTTGTCTGTAGAAAGTAGCCAATCTAATAACAGCTTTTAAGGAGACGGCTGATTCATGAGTGAAGCTTGCCTCGGCTGTAAGCACTTTCTACAGACAAGCAGTGACAAGAGGAATGTGGAGGGAGGTGGGACGTGTCATTCTCTGCATTCCTCTTGCCACTGCTTGTCTGTAGAAAGTAGCCGATCTAATAACAGCTTTTAAGGAGACGGCTGATTCATAAGCGCAGCTTGCCTTGGCTGTAAGCACTTTCTACAGACAAGCAGTGGCAAGAGGAATGCAGAGAATGAACACGTCCCACCTCCCTCCACATTCCTCTTGTCACTGCTTGTCTGTAGAAAGTAGCTGATCTAATAACAGCTTTTAAGGAGACGGCTGATTCATGAGTGCAGCTTGCCTCAGCTGTAAGCACTTTCTACAGACAAGCAGTGACAAGAGGAATGTGGAGGGAGGTGGGACGTGTCATTCTCTGCATTCCTCTTGCCACTGCTTGTCTGTAGAAAGTGCTTACAGCCAAGGCAAGCTGCACTTATGAATCAGCCGTCTCCTTAAAAGCTGTTATTAGATCGGCTACTTTCTACAGACAAGCAGTGGCAAGAGGAATGTAGAGGGAGGTGGGACATGTCATTCTCTGCATTCCTCTTGCCACTGCTTGTCTGTAGAAAGTGCTTACAGCCAAGGCAAGCTGCGCTTATGAATCAGCCGTCCCCTTAAAAGCTGTTATTAGTTCGACTACTTTCTACAGACAAGCAGTGGCAAGAGGAATGTAGAGGGAGGTGGGACATGTCATTCTCTGCATTCCACTTGCCACTGCTTGTCTGTAGAAAGTGCTTACAGCCAAGGCAAGCTGTGCTTATGAATCAGCCGTCTCCTTAAAAGATGTTATTAGATCAACTACTTTCTACAGACAAGCAGTGGCAAGAGGAATGTAGAGGGAGGTGGGACATGTCATTCTCTGCATTCCTCTTGCCACTGCTTGTCTGTAGAAAGTGCTTACAGCCAAGGCAAGCTGCGCTTATGAATTAGTCGTCTCCTTAAAAGCTGTTATTAGATCGGTTACTTTCTACAGACAACAGTGGCAAAAGGAATGCAGATAATGACATGCCCACCTCCCTCTGCATTCCTCTTGCCACTGCTTGTCTGTAAAAGGTACTCACAGCCAAGGCAAGCTGCACTTATGAATTAGCCGTCTGTTGTCGTATTGGCTACAGCAGGAGGGAAGGAGAGCAGGTTATACCTCCGAACAAGGATTAGGAAGCTTTTTAGCAACATGGGCACATGATTGTTACAAAAATAAAATATAATAGATCTTTGGAGGTGGGGGGTTAACACAGTACAGCAGGGTAAACCTAGAATGTATTCACATCCAAGAAAGAATTAAAATACCCCAAAGAAGCTCATATTTGAGAGTTGCTGCCAGTTCACGTGAGCAATTACTCTGCAGCGATTTTCAGGTGAAGCTGATCAGGGATGATGCCATTGCGACACAATGGAGGTCACACGCTGTTATTATTCTCATCCATTAGTCACAGCACTCTCCTGTCATTGTGTTTGTGGCTAATAAATCCCTTGAACCTGCTAATTCTCCCCTCTGAACCAGACTGTGATATATTAGAGCTCGCAGTAATCAGATAGGATCGTATTTGTAAGCGTTTTATCGCTCTGTACTGTTTTACGGAGCTCTGCAACGCTTCGCTGCCTTCATTTTGCATGTTTGTCGGTTTTATGATAGAATGAATTGCAAAGCATTACTGGTGGCAATACCAATTATATAGAAAGTCGCGAAAAAAGTCTTACCAAAAAGAAACAGTATCCAGAATAACCAAAAGGTAAATTAACGATCTTTTAAATAATAGTGTGTTACCAAGGTGCCAACACGACCACATTGTAATGTACACTGTATGTTAAAGTGTATGTAAAGCCTCACCTTGTAAAAAAAGTTATAATCCTACACCCATAGTTGATCCAGAGGAAGGCAAAAAACCCAGCAAAGCACGATCCAATTGGCTCCTGCAGGGGAAAAAAATTCCTTCCTGATCCCCCGAGAGGCGATCGGATATTCCCCCCGGATCAACTTTACCTATAAATGTTATATCCAGTTATATTATGTGTATCCAGGAAAGAATCCAGGACTTTTTTTTCACCCAGCCCACTATGTCCAGCACCATAGCATGACACAGAACTCACAGAATATATACAGTTACCTAGCATGCCTTCAGAGAGCACGGGGACAAGTTCATGTAGTGCCAAGGGCAAGAATGCGGAACTGCACCCCCTCCCCCACTGCTAATGCATACCATAGAATGGGTTTAGTATCCTGTGTCCATTTTCTGCCCCCTTGCTCCGCTATGCCCAGGGCAGCTGTCCCTCTTGCCCACCCCTTATCCCTTCCCTGCCATCACCCACATGGAAGAAAAATATATATTAAATATACTTTAAAAATATTCTTCCCAAATATATTGACATATATTTGAAATACTACAATTTTAGCCGTATTTAATGTATTTCAAAATATATTTCAATATATATATATACTGTATGTTGAAATGCATTTTTTATATATTACAAAATATATGAAAAATATTTTTAAAAATACATGTTCAAATATACTGTATGTCTTTAAAAATACATTTAATATACATTTTTTTTAAATGCATTTACAAATATATGTAAAAATATATGTTAGCATTACTTTTTTATATGTTAAAAAGAATCTGAAGAATATATTTAAATATTTGTAAAAATATTTTTCATATATTTTGTAATATATAAAAAACGCATTTTAACATACAGTATATATGTGTGTGTGTGTATATATATATATTATTATATATATTTTTCATATATTTTGTAATATATAAAAAAACGCATTTTAACATACAGTGTATATGTGTATGTGTGTGTGTATGTATATGTGTATATATATATATATATAATTTTCTTTTAATATATTGAATA